GACAAAAAATTAAAGTTACAAGAATAAATAAAATGAAAACCTTATTTACAGAATGAAAACAATAATAACGCAACCTGCATAACATCGTGCATTTTTGGCAATATTTCGATTGTTATAATCATCAATCGATGACATATATAATAACAATTGTTGTAAAATATTGCTGAAAAAATCGGAATAAAACTGTCAAATCTATACAAACAACTCTTGCAAGGCTGAAAATAATGTTCCTAGTCACTGTGGATCTTTGGTTTATAAAAATAAATAATCACACCAAAGTAAAGTAATCTAAAGTAAGTTATTTTACCAAGAATTGAATTAATTTCTTTTCCACTGGTAATTCGCCAATTTATCGAGAATGAAGTTCCTAGAGATTTAGTTTACATCAATTTGAAACAAAATTTAAAATGTGATTCAGCATATACTTTACCACAATTAAACGAATGTTATCAAAAAACAGTCCGCAGAAAACCCAAACAAGTAATGCGTCAAAAAATTAGAGGCTGATGTGTCATTTCTCCTTTGCAAGGATGAAAACTATATCTGATATCGAGTGTTCTAACATAAGCAAATTGTAACAACTATCTGAGCAACTCTGATATAGGCGATATTGAGAAAAACGAAATGTCATCGAAGAATAAAATCCTAACCTGCTAAAACAGGAACCGAAGAGATTTCAAAATTATGTTTTTGGGGTGCCGTCCATGCATAAAGTTCAACTATATTACGAGCTGTTTGTAAAATTTTAGCCATAGCTGAAGCAGACTCTGCTTTCGCTGCATCATCTAGTGTTCTTATTATTAAATCTGCTATATCGACAGCTGTCTTACTAAAATAAGCACAATTATGTTGTTATTTTAGTGGATTTGACAACAAAATCCTAAAACTATTTTGACTTCTAAAACAAATAACATCAATAACACCATTTAAAGCTATTTAGACATGGTGTCATCTGCCGAAATCCAATTGACACAATAAAATAGAACTGGAAATCAAAAGCAACTATCATCAATGGACCTCATATCCAACAAAAGTGATAATTAGATGAAAATAAACATAAAGAATGTTCTTGAGCACAAACAATTAAAGTACCAACAAAACATCATACCTGACTTGACAGCTCACCAACCGCATCAATTTAGGATAATGTTCCTCATTTTCATTACTTTCCTCCAGCTTGCGCAATCCAAGTTTAACAAATTCTTCAACAGTCTCATCGTCATCCGTATTCGAACTGCTGCCAACCTGTAAGACAGTTCAGCCACTACTACTAAAAGCCTCCGAGGATGGGGAGAAAGGCGAATCCAAAAATAAATGCAAATGAAGGATTGAAAACCGAGATGGTTTTATTACAGTACCCATCAATGCATTAGCTACATTTATTTAATAAAAGACAAATGAAATGAGCGATGCGAAAAAAATACTGAAACAAATTCTGTTAACGGTGCTTCAATAAGGGTTCGTGCTTCCTCAACAATCTTGCTGCAACGTCGATTAATGAACGTGCTCTCGTAATTTTCAGCAAATTTGCGGAATGATTCAGTTGAATCTGTGAAAAATCCTAATTTCTGAAATAAAATTACTAAAATTAAGAATAATATATCATCTTATCTTCTGATTAGGATTAACATTTGAATTAAAACCTTCATCTCCTCGCTAAATTGATCTGTTGATGTCAGGAGAGTCTCAAATGCAGGTTTATCTTTTGAATCGTAGGGAATGGCTGGTGTAAGGCATTCATGGACTAACAATTGAACGATTTCGTTTGATATTTTGTCACCAATCAACTGCACCATATTTTTTCCATTTATTTTCATTACACCAAGATTTCTGCCTAGGTTTTTGAATAATTCCAGCATTGCGCTACAATTAAGCATTTTAAAAGTTATACATCGGGAAGCGTAGAAATATTTCATTTTGCGCTGTTGCGTATCCTTGATACAAATTCATTTTAATGAATAATAAAGCAAAAAGAAATATCTTCTTGAAGTTTGCATATTTTGATGTCGCAACACAACTAAAGTTTCCCAAATATGAATAATTGGATCTTAAAATGAATTTTGTGAAGAGAAGGTATTTCGAATTTTGTACTGTAAAATATGTATTAAGGTGCACATAAGAGATACTTATAACATCCAAATTCAAAATTATTCTTTTAAGTATTCACCGAAGAACTTTCTCTGGATCAGGACGTTTTCTTTTTCCATCTTCTACTGGTGCTTCTTTGCGCACCACATATTCATGTCCCGAAAAAGCAGTGCCATCACGATAAATAATAATTTCTGTAGGATCTTTCGCAGCAATCAATCTCTTACAAAAATGATGCATGAGTATAGATGACAGTTTCCCAACCTTTGCATCGATTAAATTTAAAATATCCATTGCAGAGAGCTTCTGAAATAATTTTCCATTTCTTCATTTAAATAGAATGTTTAAAAAAATTTTTAGGGTATTATTACATTAATCTATTTTGAAAAAAGTAATAATATGAGCAATAAGTTCAAAGTTTTTCAGTCTTCTTCGAAGCTCCCTCTGAATTTGTGCAAAGTAGTGTTATATATTTAAATTCTACTAGAAGATAATTCATATATTTAATAGCATAGCATAAATTTCAATATGTTAAACAGTTGCATACTTAAAATCTATTTTTATTGCTCAGATATTATGTCACCATCCAAAAATAAAAGTTACCGCGCACAAATATATTAAAATTTGATATTGCTAGAATGTAAGTACAGGTTTAAATGACGTTTAGAAAATAATTTATAAAATCTTTACCAACTTAAACTTAAATGAGCGTTGCAATACCATAATTAGAATTGGTTTCGAAAATTTTCATTCCCTCTCTAAAATTCAGTCATTGCCAACAGGAAAAAAATTCACTTTTAAATTGTAACAAGAATTTTGTAAAGATAAATTTACTTCGTTCAAAGCATCACAGCTAGATGCCGTCAACTGCAAAATGACTTTATTATTGAGCTCTCGTAAAGAAAATATTTGATCCCAGAAAGTGTTCAACATGTAAGTCAAACTTTGTCGCAGCGTCACAATTTCTGTTTTCAGTGCTGGACCAATGCGCTCCGCGAATCCTTTATCGACAATTTCATTCTCCTGCAATTATTCTTCCCTAAGTAACATATTATCACCGATATTTTTACATAAAATTGCTTTAACAGAAACAGTGGCTCCATTCAACTTTGCTTTTAAACTTGAAAATATCTATTAAAATTAGTTCTCGTACTGTGCTCGTTTATGATTATAATATTTCCGGAAGTTCAGGCAAATCTATGAAAATCAAAACAAGTTAATAAAGACATTTCTGAAGATCAAATTAACACATATGGCTAATATTGATTGATTATAAAGTGATCAATGGTTTCTAAAATATTTAAAACTATTCTACTGCTATGTTTCCAGTTCAAAACATAAATCTATTTTTTTGATCCTAGTTAAAGAATTACATAAAAACAAGATAAAGTAACACTAATGATTTAATGACTCTATTGATATTCCCCTTATTAATTCAGAGTTAAAGAAATATAATTGGATTTCCCAAAAAAAAAAATGTACCTGTAAGATGTTTTTTAACTTTGTTTCCAGCTCTACAAGCAGTTGTGCGTTGACTAAAGAGTTTTCTTCATTTGACGAATACCATAACTGACATATCAGTGATTCAATTTCTTCTAAGGAATGCATTTTCAGTTTCCAATCTTTTATACATCCTAATCTTTCCAATTCTTTTTTCTTAAAAAAAAATCTTTTAAAGGCATGCAGAAAAAATTCCGTTATTACTAGGAGTGAATTAATCACGCTGAGAAGGGTGCTGTTTAATCAATTTTAGCATGAATCGTTAAGTAATCAATAATTTGATGTATATTTGCTTGACGCCTTCATAATTTTCACGTGCAATATTTACGACTCATTTATCCACTTCTAAAATTTTTATGTTTCCAATGAGTAATTGAACAATTATCGATGACTATACAAAGTTTATGCATATTCATATTAGGCAGTTCAAATAAACAACCTAATAACTAAACTTACATTCAACTCAACTTCCTTCGTTATATTTTCTACATTGTTAGAAATTGAATTGATTGAATGGTTTACGGTACTACAGGTGGAACGAATGGTGTCCAGTAATTTATTAGTTGTAACCAAATCGGGGATACACTCCACATATTTCTTGTTTATTTCTGATGCGATATCAGTCATTGCTGAAATAAATTACAACAAAAAGAAAAAAAAATGCAAAAAAAAGATAATTCGCAGTGCGATACTCACTCGGATAACTATGAAAGCCATCTAGAAATATTAGTGAGATAGAACTGTACACTGCTATGTTAAACTTTGTTTTACAAGAGATTTTACCAGTATCTATCACACGTTCCAAAGATGATATTTCTCGTCCAATATTATCTCCGGTATCATCCTCGACATCTCGTGCCGATAATATACGTTTCTCAGATGATTGTAAAAGAGCTGCCATTATTTGCGTTCTACAAATGCCTAAGTATGCATGAAAAATTGGTAAGAGATATTTCTTGTCCAGAGCTATCATCTCGACATCTTGCACTGATAATACATGCTTCCGATAATATATACTTCTTGTACTATAATAATAATAAGAGAACAATGATTCTGCTGTAGTTATTTGAAGTATCTCAAGCGTAAATATTCAGAAGTACTTAATCATTCTTACTTTTTGATCTATATCATAATCGACGACCTTTGCTGAATTTTAATGAAGCGTGTATAAAAAGGATCACTTCTTAAATCTATGCATGACTTATGAGCAAAAATCAGTTAACCTCAATGTGCTTCCTCAGCTGACCTACGTGTAGATGTGACCCCAATATTTCAAGATACTGCCGAAATTCTAAAAATTTCTGAATTCTGTTCTCCCGCAGAGCATTTTGGTCGCTCAATGCCATATCTAACGTCCCAGCGGTAATCGTTAAATGAAGGGCGGAGAGTGGTGAGATTTGAGTGCGGGCAGTTAGGCGTGCAGCGATGCAGCTGCAGTGTGCAGCGCGCGCGTCGTAGCGATGCTGTCGACGCGACTGGCGACAGCGTAGCGTGTGCGGTTGCTGCTGCTTTGCGGTTGCGCGAGTATTGGTGGAAATATTGTCTGGTGTTGTTATTGTATTCTGGGGATTTGATTCAATTGAATTATATGAATTTTAAAAATTTCACAAAATTTTACGAGTTTTTGAAATTCAAATGTGAGAGTATTACTATTGCAGGTTATTGTTATTTGTATTAATTATTATTGTTGTGTGAGTTGACTTTCGATGATGTCAACAAGGAAAGCTCCCGATGAACGGGCCGGTCAGTTCGGCAATGCTTCGTAAGTTCCATCGATACTTACTTACCCCTATTATACTTTATTTGTTCAACCATGTACATCTCACTATCCTACCTGATCCCAATCATTTCATTACTGCTATCAACTGCTAAAAAGTTGTAGGTTTACTTAACTACGGTATTAAGCCTACTAACATGTTCACCAACTGATTAAGCTAACTGATAGTACAGTCATCAAAATCTCTAATTGCGATAAGGTTAAACATAAATTTCTGCATACTACAGAAATTCATGTATGCCATAATATCTCTTAGAAGTTGTGCCATAATCCGATATCTTGCGCATGGGGGATCACGTATGCAGATATGCCGCATGCGAACATTCGGGATGCAGTCACATCTTTATTAGGATCCTTCATTCATGATACCATTCTGACTGGACATTCCCTTTCCCATTGCTTATCCGCCATTAACTCGATGATATTGTTTGCTAACTGCTGCGCTATTTAGGGTGGAAAAGGCCGGTACAGCAGGACACAATGGCAGGGATACGATTAAAGAAGAGTAGTGTGACTTTCAGCATATTCCAGCAAACTTTTTATGAATTATTTCTGTAATACTATTTCATTTTTCGAACAGCTTAGCATTTCTGTTGCTTTTAGAAATCTTAAAAAAATTCTTATTTTACCAATTTTTATTTTGCAGAAATGAACAAGCAACTGACAATGGTCGAACATTGCAATGGACTAACGGCTTAGGATCATCAAACGCCTTCATCACGCTGGTCAGTAGTCCGACAGCGAATTCAACAAGTGGAACAGAATCAGGAACTGTTTCAACAAATGTCTGGCATAGTAATGATGCCGGTGATGTGAATTTTACTGATCAAAGTAATACGCAACAATTGCTTGCTTCCACCGAAAAGGTCACCTCTCTAACGTTTTTTGCCACTGTTGTTTAATAATATATATGATGTTATATTCTCTTTAATGCAACTAACTCAGAGAATGTAATAATCAACATTAGGCCCAACCGTTGCTGATAACATGAACATTTACTATTGACTCATTCGATTCATTCAGCCCTGTTTTACGAAGAGGATTATAAGCAGCATATGTGCAAACATATAATTTAGATCAGAGAAATGAAAATAAAGACTCTGTTATTATTTGCAACTTAAAAGCTTCTGAAAGGGAAATTGCTCTTCATTACGATAATTTATAATGGCCTGTTCATAGGATTTCAGGTTCAACGTAATTATGGCAATGCTGACGACAGTACAGCTAATGCTCATAGTGAACATGCTACAGTTACAGCAATGTCATTTAGCGACCACATTTACTCACCTTCGAATTTAATTACTACGACATCTGAATCATCTGTTAAGCCAGAATTAGGTATGGAAATTTTATTGTCATTTATGGTGGCACTAATATTTTCCGTATGCAATGTCTTATCATTTCTAATATTCTCAATAATATGCGCAAGATGATTGGTTCACTGTAAGGATGAGGATTTTGTTATCAAATTTTATTTTGAAAATCAAATTTAAATTTTGTTGTAGATGTTGTGGTAGTAGGTGCAAGTGCGAAGTCACCGTCAGCGATAGAAGATCGAACGACAAAAACGAGAAGTGAGTTTCTTTATTGAAAATTCGAATGATGTGATCGAAATGATGAGGACTGATAAAGAGCTCAACAAAGTGATTAAATAAATTCTCACACAACAGAAACAATTTCAGTAATATGGACAGATGACCTGCGTGAAATTTTAATACAGGAAATGAAGAAACGACCCTGTTTATGGGATCACAACCATCCAAAATATAGAGATCTGCAGTATGCGGCAAGTGAAAGGAACGAAGTCATTGAATCTTTCTATCATCGGACGGGATACGCATTGAATGGTATCTTCGAAATGATTGTTAGATTGTTGTGAAAGCTTTTAAAACGTTTAGTATGTAATTATTCAAGTGCTGTCTGTGAAGTGGTGGTCTAAGGTGTAAGCCTGACTTCATGTTTCTGCCAATAACATGGTCGCTTCATCAGTAATGTGATAAGTAGTGAGGTGTATATTTTATGATTTGAAAACATTTATTTCGAATTCTTGTATACGATTGAGGTAGTTAACAAGGGAGCAACAACGGAACGAAATGCAAAACAAAAGGTTACGAATGAATCTTAGAAATAATAGGAAAGGTCATTTCTAGAAATAATCAGCACAAAAATAGTATTTAGCGGATGATATTGCGAGACAGTGGAAGTCTTTGAGAGATCAATATGTACGTTTCATCAACAAAATCAGAAATATGGAACCAAATGATTGTCGATTTCCGTCATTCAAATTTTCCGAAGAGCTAAAGTTTCTAATGCCTTATAAACAGTTGCCTCAGTCTCGGTAAGTTTATAAAGGAGTTTCATTTCTTATTCTTACGGAGAATTTTAATGTTTAACAACTTGAATGAAAAACGAATGATAAATGTATCATGCATCAATAAATGTGTTTTGACTATGGAACATTAGTTAGCTTGTAACGAATTGTCCGAGAATTTTCAGTAAAGTACAATCGGCAGAGTTCTTTTGAGTCAAAGTTTTCCTGGGATTATTCAGGTAATAAATTTATTTCTGAAATTTAGATATTGCATTATGATAAACGAAGAAAATGGCCTGCAAAACCTGAATGAAAGTATTCCATCAAAGGAATCGTGCTCTGAGTTTTCAGTGCCTGGCACTTCTGCCACAAGTTTACTGCCAATTCGCCGTAAAAGAAAACATGGCAGGTCGTCGGATTACAAAACTCAGAAAGATGTTGACTTAAAAACACATGATAGAGAAGACGGTTGTTTCTCTAGGATGGATGAATTTGATCATTTTGGTTTGTGACTTTGTTTATTTTGTAAGGAAGGAATTTGATGAAACTCTTACTTTTGGAATATGCATTGAAATGATCTGTTGGTGATAAAACAAAAACACCATGAACGTTTTATAGTTATATCACAGAGGTGACCATAAATGACTCTCCGGAAAAAGGTGTAATATTGGTCGTCAAGTTGTTTCGTTCCAACCACTACTAAGAATATTTTTAACGAATCGAATCACTTCAACCCGAATATTTCAAAAATTCTGAACATTAATTTAATAATTAATAATGCTTCATAGGCCTGTCAATTGCCGATTATATTCGAGGAATTGCAAAGCTTGATGAAAAAGCAGCGGTGTGGATAAGAGGCGAAATTTGGACATTGTTGACGAAGTGTCGGATGAAAGCACTGGAGGGATGTGGCGGAAATGGCACCAGTTAATATTTTAAATGATAAGGAAGGAATGACACTAGGTATGATGCATTTGAATGTTGAAAGGTCGAATTCGGTGTTACTGCGAATTTATTGTAACCTTCTTCGAAACTCTCAATCACACTTATTCATTGATAATAAAAATGTTAATTATAGTACTAATAGTTTAGGTTGTCATTGTATAGGACATAATATTACCTGGTAATTGTTTAGTCCTTTTTTATGGATTTTTTTCACGAGATTCATGTAATTAAGCATGTGAAATAATGGATTATACAATGTAGAAAAATGTTCATACTGTAACAATTAATTTCGTCATCGACAGCATTTTTCATTCCAAAACATTGTAAATTTTGAAGTTGTTATAAGTTATTATGTATGGTATTATTTTCATTGTAAATTGTTCCGATTCAAACATTTTATGAGGTGTATATTTTTTATAAGTACGGGTTATGAACCCTTTCTTGTAACTTCCTTCATTAAGAGTAGATATTGGGATATTCACGTTTCCGTTGATCGCTGTGATTAGAAAGTGATTGGTAAAATAGGTCAGTTGACGAGAGAGATGTGAAGAGCCCATTGTCCTTTTGATCAGTATCTCTTAAACGTAATAAATTTAAATTTATGGATTTTTCTCATGTGAATGACAAATAGTGCCTCGCAAATTTTTATTATAGAAATGAATTATTAAATTTTCTAATGTTGACAATTTTCTGGCATGCAAACGCAGTTATTGCGCATCGTGGTTGTTTATTTAAGCAATCAAAACATGGACAGATACATACATAAACATGATTACTGCGTATAAGGACTGCTATAAAGCAGTTGATATTCTTTTATACACAGTTGGTTTTCTATTAATATTTCGTTTTAAACATGACCATGGGATGATCGATGCTAATTAATTGATTTCTTCACATTTTACTAATTATAGCTGTTGCTTTTGGTACTGTTATTCTTAAATGGAAATATTGAAGTATAGTAGTATTTAATTGTCGAGTTTCGTGGTCACTGATCATTGATAAATTATTTATTAATATATTAGTGATTGAATTTTGATGAACGGATTCGACAGCTGGCTGCTTACGGTAATATAACTGAAGAGTGAAGATTTTCCTGCGTAAGTGCCGTTTGTAAAAAAAAATATGAAATACATATTCTGAGTTAGAGCATCACGGTTAGGCACGAAGATGAGTGCGAAACATGAAAGGTTCTAAAATGACAGGCTTTTACCAGTAGCATAAAATAAGAACATTAATGATCGATGAATCAATTAGCGGGACAACAGCACCAAGGCATCCTCGATGCCGGAGATAAGTCCCATTAAGCCTACAAGTGATCGTAAAACCGACATGTTGATTGAGAGCAGTTGTGGCGATATGAACTATTGATGAATGAGTCAATTAACGAGGAAGTATTTCGCAGTGGATGATACCACGAGATACCTTCTGCTAGCCTCAAACCAACGTAACTGCAGCGTGTGGTATGCAGTCGGGCGTGCAGCTTTGGTCCGACATGCAGGTAAAACACTTGTTACAGGGACCATCCCTCACCTCACTTCACATCCGCTCACCCAGCCATCTCCCTCACCTGTCCCATCTGCTTCCTTCTCCTCACTGCAGTCTTCCCTTGTGTGTATGTATGTGTATATATGTGTGTGTGTATGTGTGTGTGTGTGTGTGTGTGTATGTATGTACGCCATTCCTGAGGGGAGGAGTAAGGAATCGATCGTATCCCAGAGGGAGGGAAGGAGTTGGTTGGGATGCATTTGGCATTCGTTGACAATTTTGGTTCGTTGGGCTCTCACATTAATGAGATACCGGAAAGGTGAGGTGCTCCCTGGGAAGTACCAGAATAGGTCCTGTAACGATTACTTTCCTTTTGTGCAGGTGACACTTTCTGTATTGCTGCTTGTTACTATTACTTTGGTGAGTGTCAAAGAAACAAGAAAGTCAGCTGGGAGCGTTGCAACATTATAAACGACTAGACGGATATTCATCATTCATCATTCATTTCCCGTCTACCAAGGTATCTCATACTCATAGTTCCTGATCTCATCAACTGCACCTTTTTTTTTTAATCACTACGATTCATTATCACCTACCATTATTATTTTTGTCGTCATAATTGTATCACTGTTATCGTTACCAATTTAATAATTATCATTCTTACTTTCAGGATGTTATCTTTAATAGTACGATTATCACTATTACAATAATCATTTCTATCCAAATTTAAAATGTATTGCTTTTTTTTGTTTTCCACTTGTTCATATACAATGCGAGATATTTGTTAGTATCGACAGTAAATGTTATGATCACATATGCTGATGAATACCTTTTGATGACATTTAATTAATCGGCCAGAGTACTGCTTAATGATACATTTCATTAATTAGCTGTTAGCTGAAATGTTTGTGTGTAATTTTGATGTTTTTGATATATTGCTGTTGACGTGGTCCTAAAATTAAATAATATTATCGATATTATTTTTCACGGTTATTTCATTTTCATAGTGTCATCGCCGACTGTTTGTCATTTTTCAGTTATTGAAAATTTCCTTAGATTTTATCAATCATTATTGATTTACGTTTATACGTTGCTCTAACTCCATTGTTCATTTTCGTATTGTCTATATGTGTGTATTTGTATTGTGTGTGTGTGTGTGTATGTGTGTGTGCTGTTATGTTTAAATGCATTGATTATCCACTACATCCTCGTGGCTATTTTGTTGTCCCAATGTTCGGATCCCAAATTGAAATTGAAATCTTGTCCTGTCTGTATGAAAGAATTATGACGTTGGTATACTGAATGTAACATACCTTGAATAATATGAATTTATCATGTACATCTTTTCGCATAAGCTAATTATTAGTTACCTTCACTATATCTGTTGGTTATCTTTTTTTTCCCCCCTCTTTTTGTCATCTCTTCTTAACTCCTATCCTTAGTATTTGATACCGTAATTAATCTTCCACTGAATGGAATATTTCATATTTGCTGGTTTTTTTCTTCGTGCATTTATTGATTGATTATTTTCTTAATTGTATTTCCGCGATGTTTGAAGGTTTTAACGACATAATTTTTAGTTTCAAGTAATGGTAACTTTTCTCAAAGGAAAGTTACCACTTTCTGTTGTTATTACTTGAAAAAAATATAATATTATGGAGTGTAAAAAATAGGTAACAGTTCATTACCTCGTCAATTGTTCAATGGACACTGTTGATAACATATTTTGTCAGAGATATTACTTCAAATTTCCCAGATACTAAGAGTAAATAATAATCATATCATTTGAATCTTTTCACGTGTTTGCAAAACGAATCTCTCTGTATTTATTATGGAAAATTCGTGTAAATTTTCAGCCTCTAATGAGGTGACTTCAATAACTGGTGAATTATCGATAAGGTTTATAGACGCATGGCAGCTGCAAGCTCAACGCAGCCATCATTGTATCAACACTATTTCACGGGACATCTTCCGACTAATTCATCGATTACTGTAAACAACAGAGCAAGCTTGAATTCAGAAGTATTCTATTTTTTTATCGTAGGAATTGTTGATGTTATGTTATTTGATGAAAGAGCCAGTGAAGGAATAAGCACAGGAGGAGATTATTATGAGATCAGAATTTATGAAATTTATTATAATACGTCAAGAATTTAGCAACGAAAAATTAGATAACAGTTAGATAGTTTCTCTTGAACGAAATGATCCAGGAAAGATTCAATTTTCAACAAGAAGAAATTCACTGAGATACCAATTTGCAGGCAAAAAGTACTGCTTGGAGCAGTCCGGTCGCTGGGCAACAGCTTAATGAAGATTCTGGAATGAATGTAAGGTAGGTAATGATTTATATTGCAAGAAATTTGTACCTTTCGTTCACTTATTTTTTTTTGCTTTTTCTAGTGCAACATAACTTGACATTAAGATATCAATTTTTTTTTATCTGTTCACTTCCAAAATTTATGTTAAAAAAGAATAAGTTCATGCTTCCTATGCGAATTTGACAAAACGAATTGTAATTTTTATTTTCTATAATTAATGATTCAGAGATATCTGAAAAATGTTGAATGAATAACAAAAGCTAACTATAATCCTCTTTGATAATACTTTTTTTGTGCTTCTTTGATATGCGAAAGAGAGCAAAAGGAAGATTAATGCGGATTATTTCCCATATAGAGTGGTTTTGATGAATTAGCAGAGATAGATCAACTTCGTAAATCATGATCCTCTCTGATGAATCATCCAGCTGGTCTGCACTGTTATGACATCTATTTGTTAGTCAAGAGCGACAAATTAAGGTTTTGTATTATATGCTTAGGAGAAGTTTACCTTCCTTATTTGGCCACATTTTATCTTATCTGATCTCACAATTTACCTACAATTGAAATATTTTTTTAAAGAAATAATTGGATCATAACGTATTAGGAATAATTCCCATTACCGTTTAAATAATTTTGTTGAACAGCTGAAGTAAGTATTCGTCTCTTTATAATCGCAAAAATAATTCCCATCACCGTTTTCGTTATGTTTTCAATTCGTGATATTTTTACAAATGGCACTTACGCTATATAAAATATATTGTATCTATAGCAGTAAACTACTCAACAAAGAGGTTATTGTTTAATAGGGATTGGTGACTTTTTTTACTATGTGGAAATAAACAGAAATTTTGTTAAAGAAATGGAAGGGCTGAAGGCGGTTCGTGGACAAACGATCTAGCTGCTACAAGTTTCATGCCATCGTCAGCGAATGGTCAAAACAGTTGTTGTTCAGTTAACAGTTACAGTGGATGGAATAGTGATTATATGTCCAATTCTGACCGTTATACCTCCCAAAACACCTCACAGCAGGTGAATCGTGCAACGCCGAAAGTATTATTTCCAAGCTTCAGATATGGTGTTCGGAGTTAGCGAAGTTTTATAAATATTCTAGTCCTCGAGATTGAGACAAAACAACTGAAATCTCTGAGGAGCTACAAGATTAACTAGAGTAGGCTGATGAAGATAATGCGAAAACTATTTTTCCTCTTTTTAGAAACTGTGGAAACCATTTTTTCTTTTCCTTTCAGAGACATCAAAAACCATTCTCTTCTTATTTTCAGGGTCAAAAGTCGGAATTGGCGATTGCATCGCCTACCAGAAATTCAGAACCACATCTCGCGAATCCGCGATATACTGATTCACAGGGTTCTTCCAGTTCACAAGCTTTACTTCAACCGGAATGTGGTAAGTTTCAAAGCGAATTTGATCTATCAAGTTTTAAATAAAAGAATTGACAGAATTAAGTAATGAAAGTTGAATTTTCACAGTCATTCCTTTTTAAGTATCAAAGCATTAATTTGAGAAACATTCGTGTCAGTTAGAATAGGATTTTGGCTGATGTGTACAAATGACCAAAGATCAAATAGACTCTGTGTCCCTCATTTTACTTCATATACGTTTTATTTTTCGAAATTTCCACAGAACATAGACATGAAACTGACATTATGAATGTGTCTTTTCAGAATCTCATCCTCGACCCACAAGCAGTCGGAAGAGGCATGCAGGTAAAGTTATGATTTTTTGCATGCGATGTCAACTATCGTCACTGTTTTGCTAGTTTACGCATTGCATAATCAGGGAGGGGAGGGCGGAGAGGACAATCTGGAGGGGTATTATCTGTGAATAATGCGTATATGTGTTCATTTATGTGTGTGGGTATGTGCATAACTATATGCCTTCGTTTGGAGATAATAACAGTTGCTTAAATAATGGGGAATGCCATATCGGGTAAACAACATCAGATCTCACATCTTAATATTATCAAGACCACTTCTTTCCCAAGTTCCCCAGTGATCGATTGTGCTGAGCAACTTCGGTTGACTTAATCGAATAGTCCATTTGTGCTTGTTCTTATTGTTATTTGTTACATTTACTTGTACTTACTGTTTATTTGTGCTGCTGACAAGTATTTGTTTCACTATGTGGAATGCCTCATCAAATCTAAGTGATAAGAAGAAGAAATGTTCTGGTAGTAAATTATCGACTCGTTCAGATACCTATCAGCTCAAGCCTTCCTTGACTAGTTCTAATTTGAGAACACCTGAACTGCTACGGAAAAGTTTGCTTCCATGTTTATATCCACTGCCAATGCCGAGTGAGTTATATTATTAGATAAAAATTAAAGGATATTTGTGTTACAAGATTGTCTCAAGTTGGGGCACGTATTAGAGATTTTCAAAGGCATGTCCAATTTATAGACACGGCTTATAGATCAAAAGTAATATATTGTGTTATAGAATTTATATAAGTTATAGATGTGTTTCACTATTTCATTCTCAACAGTTGCAGCTAGTGAAACGTTGTCTGCTGCTCAGTTCGGACCGCTGAATTGTCGTGTTGATAATTCATTGTTGGTTTTGACGAAAAAGTTCATGCAATTGCAACCTCAAGCGAATGAAGATGGAGTGGGTTTTTTCTTTTGTCTCTCGCGTTGATCTTTACGTGGTCCAGTGCTAATTTTTGTTTTTTTTAAGGAGTATTTTTTTTTCGATATGCTAACATTTCTACCACTGCCGTGACTTCATGTTATTACTGTGAAGCTTCTCGATTGGCTGTTATGAAAGTGATTTTGTCATATTCATCGCATTTCTTATATGTCATTTACAGTTATTAAATTTGAACGAAGCAGCTATGCGATTGGGCGTTCAAAAGCGACGTCTTTATGATATAACGAATGTACTGGAAGGAATTGACATGATTGAGAAAATGGGAAAGAACAGTATACGGTGGAAGTGAGTATTTTAATGATTTGAAGTGTACGCATTCTTCTTTCCAATATGACATGATAAAATAACGATAAAACAGGCATACCTTTTATGAAATTAGATCAAATTGATATAACATCAGGAAGGATAACAAAAGATCGAGAGGTCTTTGAATGATTTTTGTTGTAGGTTATTGAACACTGTAACGAATTATTGATTTTCAGGTTTTTATAGCTTGAAGTTGAAATTTATGACTCTTGAGGCTTCAATGGAGAGGTAGGAGATGAAGGTTACATAGTGCGTTTAAATTCTTTGTAGACTCTCTGCTTAGAAACACGGATTTTAGGAGTAATGATGAAATTGGTTCACGTGGAATTGAAGCACAAAGGCTTAAAGAGGAGATTAAAAGCTTAGATAAATACGAACAATCATTGGATGAATTAATCACAAGTATCGAAAATGCACTAAAGTTAGCCAAAGAAGATCCAACCGATCGAGTCTACAGGTATATCTAAAAGCACCATAGATGTTTTTTTTTCAGAAAAATCACGTAATACTGTCCGACACACGCAACGGTAGCACTAGAAAATGTGCTAAGTCAATTTTATTTCACTGAGTCCTGGTAATAGTCAATTTTATTTTCTCAATCTTTCGAATCTTGCATAGCTGTTGAATACTTCTTTTGTATATTTGTTGCAGTTATGTGAAATATGCAGATCTTCGCATGTTGCCAGGAATGTCTGATCAGACGTTGATAGCAATCAAAGCTCCTAAGGACTCATACTCGTCCATCGATGTAACAGATCCAGTAGAAACAGGAGTATGTTTTCTGTAACATAAATCTTCAGAACTTCACCAAACTACAAACGCATTTTCATTCTTGACTATATCAATTTAACGAATGATTATTGCAGAAATTCGAAATAATGATCAGGAACGCACAAAAGGAGTCATTAGAGGCCTATCTTTGTCCACATGTTTCACCAAAGAATCAGCAGTTTCAGGTACTTTTATTATTGTTGCTCAATAGCTTTCTTTTATTGTTCACTAATGCCCGTAGTTCTGGTCTATTTCGATTTCTATTTGGACTATTTTTACTTCATTCCGGGTGTAAAATTTCGACTATTTTTACTTCATTCCGGGTGTAAAAGAAGTCACTTTTCATTTGTTCAGAAATACAACTGCTATTTGAAATAAAGCTTCAAAATTATCACTTCCTACAAATTGTTTATATGTATAAATTGTCAAAACAAGAACATTTATTAAATTTCAGGTACAGAAATTATTTTCATTGCATTTCATCATTATTCGTAGTATATTAGTTTGTTTCGTTTGGGAAATTCCTCAGACATAAAATTTGTGTTTTTTTGCTCTCTTTCCGTAGCCGCTAGATATGTCAATTGTTCTTGTATGTAGTTGATCACTAAGAAATTATACTGACCCTCCAAAGTCCGATTTACTTTTTCTCTTGAGCAACTTAATCCAACGTGGCTTTTTTCAGAAAGAAGAGTCATGTGACACGTCGGTTCAAGAAGTTCAAGAAGACAGACATAACTGGTCTGAACGAGCAGCAAATAATGCATTTCAAGAAAGCAGTGGAGATGCACAACAAGTGCCAATTCCAGGACGTAAGTTCACTACTTTTTATTTTGATTTGCTTATTAAAAATTAATACATTTTTCCCATATTTTTTTGGAGCATTTCATTAAGTATAATTTGTAAATATCTTGCAAAGTGCACTTATATTTTGACTTTTGCTTTTAGCGAGTAATGACAATAACGTCAGCATTTTACCGCTTAATACATTGAGTACTTTCTACGCTCCACCAAATTTACATACCTCTCCACTAAAAATGGTCGTTGAGGGTCCTTTGCAACAAGCAGGTGAGTTATGTTTCACTTTTGTGAGATCAGTTGCTGCACTTATGTTTTTAGGCGTTACTGTTGTACTGATATATAATTCTGTTTTAATTCGTCCTAGATAGCAGCTAAAAGTATTTCATGTTTGCATCGAGTATTTTTATTTTCTGGCATTTACAATAATTTTACATCAGTTCTTTGTTGATTGTGAAGCTAGTTACTTCGAACCACTTTGTTGTTATTATATCTAGAAATGCAACTGATGCTTTCTCTGTATTTTATTCATTTCACTTTCATTATTCTCAGTGCTTCCATTTTTTTTTATACTGAAAATTTCATTTTTTCAATTCTATGACTATTTTTTTCATAAATCCTTTTATAGTTTCGAGCTCAAACACGGAGGATACGGCAACAAATTCTTATGGTTTGCTAAGCTTGGATCCAGTAGATGAAAGTGAACCGTATATGTATAGTATTGGGGAGCAGGAATCAATTCAAACTTTATATGACTGGCCGTAATTTATATCTTATTTATTGCTTCTTTAAATGTGATCTCTTTACTGTGCTCTTGCTTGCTCTGCATGCATAATTTAAAGCCTTTTTGATCTTTTTCATAGAGCGATTGAGGTTAATGTTTTGCCTTGGAATATTTGTCCGACAAAAGAGAAAAACAGAGGAAAAAATGAGTTAGGAAAGCATTTGCAAGCAATTAAAGAAATGTGAGTTATAAAATATATTGTGCTTATTAGGTGCATGATTGTACGTGCACTTATTACGCATACAGTTACGATGCATTTACTGTGTTAGTAACAGTATAGGCATGAAATTATTATGCTGAATTCAATATTGTACCGATAGTGTTTTTTATTTTACGATTTTGATATTTCAACGTTATTTGTTCAAGCAAATGATCATGAGAAAGAATCGTTATTTCTTACAAAGACAAAAAATTTTGAATCCAAAAAAAATCATTCCGCATTATAATAAATTATTTTGCCTTCTGTGCTCATTATTGTATGAGTGCGTCTATGCGTCTATATGTGCTATTTCGTTCTTTAATTTATTTAAATTGTATCGAATTCTCAAAAATGCATTTTCTTTCCTTCAGTTCTTTAGCTTTTTTTATTAATAAGTTTCCTTATGGTAGAAATTTCTCTTCTGCAACATTGATTTGTAGAAAAATGTGTAGCAGGGTGATTGATATATTGACATATTTAAAATATTTTAAATTTTGTTGAATGTTTCACTTCTGCGTCTCGTGCTTATAATTTCAGCTTAAATGTGATGAGTTTTTTTACATTATTTGGATTTCATGAAAGGGGTTTGGAATTTTTAGGCATCCATCTTTCCATATTTCACCTACCTACGCCTTTCTGCAACCATTTTTCGTTTTGCTACTTATTAGATAAAGCTAGAAAGGAAAAAGAAGTTATCAAAATGAAAAGTGAAATATGTAGAAAATGCCATTGTAGTAGCATCATTAGTACATAATTTGTGGCAAGTATGATATCCGCTTATGGAAGCTATAAATTAAGCTCATGGGCCAACTGTATTCGTCCTGATAGACAATACATAGTCTAAGTTTTAATTGATCCATATAGATGCTAAGGAATTAAAATTTCTTGGCTTACTGATATTAATAGGAAAAATTGCTATATATTATTGTTTAAAAGTTTCATGTCGTTCATTGTATATAAAAAAATACATATTTTCCGTGATCCTTTTTTCTTTTCTGGGTCACTTATGGAACTTGCATGTTCCATATTTCAGTGCTGTCATTACAATTTCTTTGCAAATTTTTATTTACTTTTAGGAATTTTTCTTTGTTTTTGAATAAACCGTTATCAAATTGCATTGTATGATGGAATACTTCTCACTGAGGGTTTTATATTTCGTATAAATAAATTAATTAATAATAACAATTCATCTTTTTACAGTACACAAAATTATGTTAACCAAGGGGAAAGGGAGAATTATTTGATGAAAAATTTAAGAGAAAACTGGACGAAAATTGGATGCAAGAAGAGCTGATGCATTGATAGGGCCAAATGTGTGTTCCATTGATCGGTCGGCCCAGCGCGTTTTCTAGTAATGGTGGTGGTGGTGCTGAAATATTTTACAAAAGAAAAGAGCTCTAGGTAGTTGCTATCAAAGTCTCTGCTATCTCTTCTAGTTAGAAATATCAAATTAGTTTAATGGAATGAGAGAATTTTTTCAATTTGTTTTCTTCCTGAAGAAAAAAATTCGTTTATCTGTTCAAAGTAAGTGAACACAAAACAAAAGGTTTCGTTGAATTTAAATCCATTTATATACTGCAATGTTAGCCATTCAGTAGGAAAAAATTGTCATAACGTAGATTTGGTTTGCTTTTTTCTTTAAAATAAGATTTTAATTTTATGGTATTTTCTCTTCAAAACAAGAATACTGTGATGTGAAGCAAATGTTGCATTGAAATGAAAAACTTCGTGAAAATGAAAATTTTCATCATTTTAAGCTTTATTGCATCAAAACGTATTTGGTAAAGTGAATGAAAAATGAAAAATCGGATTTTATTATATTGTACTTTCTTCGTTGAACTTTATTTAATAATAGATGAATGAAACTGACGAATTCTTAAAATTTCTTTTTAAATAAAATCTTATCTTTTATACAAATGGTTTATTGTATTGCTCATCGTTTTTTTTTTTTTCGTTTTTTTGTTTCGTCATTTTCCCTGTTGCGTGTGAATTATACCAACAGCAGCTGTCAGTATTTTTTTGAAGTTGAAGTTTACAATTTAAAATAGAAAAAACGGGAAGCTGAAAAGTTGAAAAGAATTTTTGGAATAGTATTCCATCTTATATTTTCTTTTCTATTACTTATTTATCTGTTTAGTGTAATCTCATCCGTACATATAAATTATTATTTTGCTTTATGTATTATTGCGAGTCAGAATTATCATGTTATCAAAAGAATATCTTATTTTATTGAGCCAATGATATTGTTGAAGGAAGAAGGATGAACAAAATTTGCTTTTTTTATAAATTTAAAAGTGAATCATTTATGTCAACATTTAGAATTCGATATAAATACATACTTGTATGCAAAAATTGTAAAATATTCGTTAAAATAGCTCGCGTGTACTTTTCTAAATCTTTTTTATTCCTGTGCGATTATTTTGATTAGTTTCTGTGCGATTATTTTCCTGATTCAGTACTTCAAGAAATAAGACAATTATCTAGCTTAATTATCAAAAAAAAAGAAAAATTCAATGCTAATGGTTTGCTGAATCTCATTTCATCCATCCGTTGATTAAATATTGATAATTGGAACTGCCTAATTTTCAGCAGTCAATAGGTATGACATCATTGTCATACCCTACTTAACATATTTGACATTCGATCATTTTCATACAATCTTCGAGTTTTCCAACTTTTTTTTGGGTTGAATTGGTAAGAAAATGGGAAAAAGCATAGTAAGTTAAGGAATAACAAGTAATTATAAAATAATGTAAGTGATATGTGAGCAAATAATTAATCAACCAATTATTTTATTATCAATTAGTTTCTATTTAATAAGCAATCAACTCCCACTGAATAGTATCGGTTTTTTTTCAAGATATTCAAGTTTGAAAATGTTTGTGGTAAAATTTTTCTCCCATTTTTTAAAATTAAATTGATAAAAAAGAAAAAGATTTTTTTAATACAATTCAATAGGCACATTGATCGATTGTAATGTTTACTTTCAGTTTTCCAATACAATTCGATTTTGTTACACATTACTGACAAAAAAATAAATTGAAAGAAAAATCTGCAAATTCGGTGTATCGAATTAATTTTATTTTTACATTTTTTTTCCCGCTTTGTTAATGTTTCGAAGAAAAATTTGAAGGTCATTTCGTTCTTCTTTTTTCTTTCACTTACCCATTCATTAACAACAAAAAAGAGCAATACAACGGAGGATTGATTATATTGTGAAATTAAATTAACTTCATTTTAACTAAAAACTAAACCGAGGGGGCTAAATTAGACCGAATTGAGTTGCGTTTGAATAAAGTGAGTTTGAATAAACTAAGATAGTCTAATTTTACAGTAAAGAAGAATTATTCTTCAAAAGAAAAATTTTTTAAATTATTCTCAAATATTTGAATCATACTATCAATTTATTGATCTATTTTAATGATTACCTGGCAATAGTGTTAACAGATAAGGAAAAACTGCGGGAATGTACTTAACTATGTTTTTAATCTATTACTAAGATAAATAAATTAATATATTACAAATATTTCGAATTAAAAATTGAAAGAAATAATGATAGTCCCTATCTGAAAATGTGTATCTCGTTGAAGTTACAGTTAAGGTTATAAAAAGAGGAAAAAGAGGAATTGGAGAGATCAACACTGCCCCTGTAGCAATGTAGCAATGTTGACCTCTCCTCCTCTTCTTATTACTTCTTCACTTTCTCTTCTTATCTTCTTCCTCCTCTCTCAACTACCACCACTATTGCAATTAAATGTTCATTACCCCAATTTCTGTTCATTGCTGTTGTTTTCCATGCAGAACATCACATACACATACACGCATACACACGCACACACACACGCACACACACACACACACACACACACA